GGGAGCCCCTGAGACATCTCATCTTCTGCTCCCCTCCAGGAGGCAGAACCTGACTTCAACCTCCCCATACCCACAGCCCAGTGCACCACGGCTCTCTCCAGCCCCAGGGCCTTTGCACCTCCCTGCACTAGTGCTGAGACAGCACGTCCTCAGCCTCTGGGGACTGAGCCTGGAGAGGGCAGGGGCTACTGCTCACCACCCCTGGCACACCTGGTCTTGCACTGCCTGCCTCACCGGCGGGTTACCCATGGCTCTGGATGGCTGGAAGCCACAGCAGCAAGGCCAGCACCAGCCTCCCTCCCCGAGCCCCTCCCAGCAGAAGCCCTGGTGGCCCTCCTGCCCCTAAGCTGACCCTGTTCTTCAGAGCAGCCCCCAAGTCTCAGCTCTCTCTGCTCAGACCCCGCCATGGGATGGCTCTACCCCAGGGGCCCCGATCCATCTGGCCTCCCACTTCTCACACTGCTGCTCCCCCCTCCCCCGGGAGTACTCGGCGTGCCTCCTGGGCCCCCGGAATGGCACCAACCCTCATTCCCCCAGCTGTGTCCCCTCCTCAGTGACCACCAGGTTCAGCATTTGGACAGGTCACCTCGCCAAACCCTACCCCCTCCTGACCATATGAGCGGTCCATGGCCCTGGGCAGGCCCCTCATGCTGGCCTCCCCAGCTTCGGGCCCTGGCACCCCAGTCCTGTTGGAGGCATGCATGAGCGGCACCCCACGAGATGCCCACACACTCAGCCGCTGACCACAGGGACACGGGAGTTCACAGAAGGGGCAGAGAGCCCTGTGGCTGAGGGTCCTTCAGAGCAAGACAAGCCTGGGTCTTGCTGGAACATTCCATCCTCCTGATGTCAACTGCACTGACCAATCTGCCCTGTCAGTGAGCCCTCAGGCCTGGCTGCCTCTCCCACTGCAGGTCCTGCCACTGGCCCCCCACCCCGTCCAAGGCCAGCAGCCCCCCTGCTCTTGCCCGGCAGCTCTGAGCACTGGGCCCTCCCCAGCTCCCCCTCAGCTGAAGCCTGACAACCCCTCTCCGGTCCCCCCTCACAGAGTGGGGACCCTCCTTCTAGGCCTGCCCCTCTGCTGAAAGGGGCGCCTACCTGACTCACCCCCACTCCCCATGCCCGGCCGAGCCATTTGCACACAGTAGGTGCTCAGCCAACCCAAGCACTGGGTGAACAGAGCAGCACACGGTCCAGTCAGGGCCCCCGTCTCACTCAGAGACCCCTGTCAGCGCCCCTGCCTGGCTCCTGTGTCCCTACCACAAACCCATGAAGGCGGTGCCCTTGTCCTCAGTTTCCCCAGCACGCGGCCAGAGCTGGCACCCGCCACCTTCGCAAACCACACAACACCCAGTCCAATCGTGTTTCGAGCTCGCCGGGGGCTGCCCCCCACTTGGGGACGGCCCCGATGCTGCCAGCTTCCAACCGGTGGTGTGTCTCAGGGGAGGGCAGGAGGGGTAGACACGTGCAACCGGGCAAGTCGGTGGGCTGGGGTGAGGGCGCTCTGCTGCCCATCCCAGACAAACACGTGGTCAGGGGCTGGCAGCAGAGCTGAGACCAGAGGGGAGAGGCTGCCCCGCACAGTGGGCAGCTCTGTGAGGCCCTGAGCAGAGCTGATGGCCAGAGCCCACATGGACCCAAGTGGCCAACAACCGAGCAACAGGGCCCTGGTACATTTGATCCACGACCAGGCTCAGGGTTTGGTGAGCATGGGAAGAGTGGGGGATGGCAAATGGTCCTTAAGAATTAAATTTGATTTGCAGTAAAGTCACCATCCAGAATTAACGCCCTGGAGGAGGGCAGGAAGACAGCCAGGCCGTGCCTGTGGTGACCCTGGGAAGCAAAGGTCTCTGGCTGTGAAGGGAGGTTGGGGTGAGGGCTTGGGGGCCACGCGTCCCTCCTTCAGGGTCTTGTCTCACGGCTATGAGCAATCCAGCTGACCCTCGCTGTGAACCACGGTTATCTTGGAAGCCCATGAAAGATGTGGCTGGATGGGTGGCAGGGAGAGACGCTGGAACCGTCCTTTTCCCAGTGACCAGCAGAGGTCCAGTCCATGGGGACACCAGGAAGAGACGGGGAAGGCCGAGAAGGAATGAGAGTCACCTGGGCCAGGTAGCTGCACCTCCTCCAGGGTCCCCTGGCCACACTGCAACCCAAGCCAGGTCGCAGTTAGGAGGTCAGCAGCTTTGACCCCCACACAGCCCAATAAAGGGTTACATTCAGGGGCAGCAAGGCTGCTCCCCTTCTGGGGCCTCAGTTTCTCCGTCTCCTGAGTGAGAAGTTGGACTGAGGCTCAGGAATCCTGGAGGGGTCCTTGAGGGGGTGTGAGGATATAGAGGGCCCAGCCCAGGGGGTTATGGGATCTTCCTGATGGCCCCCCACCGAAGCCACCACAGATCTCCTGAGACCCTCCCAGCCAGCAGGGGCGAGACTGCCCAGCTAGGGCCTAGTGCCAAAGAGCCAGGGAGAGGACAGGGGGACTTCCCCTCCCTACAGAGGGAGGCTAGGGGTCGGGGGCGGGGGGCGGGGAAGGCCGATTTCCACATTGGAAAGGAAGTCCTCCTCCCAGTTGAAGAGCCAGGGTGTGGCAGGGCCCAGGCCCTGCACGGAACATTCTGGGGCTGCCCAAAACTGGGGGCCTCGCCTCCAGCTACTGGTGACATCCCCAAACAGAGGTCTTTACCCCACCCACTGACATAAGCTTCCCCTCTGCCTGCCCTCCTTTCCTCTCTCCCTCCTCCCCCACCCATGCCTTGCAAGCAGCTGGATGCAAGCTGGCACTGAGAACGGGGAGTGGGTTCCAGAGCCCCCAGAGCTGTGAGGGAGACATGGGTGGGCTCCCCAGCTTCCCACCTGCAATGAGGTCCCTGAAGGGCTGGAAAGCTAGAGGCACACAGCTCGTTCTGGGTGGCACCCAGGCCGACAGCTGGGGGAGGGCACCCGCTGGCGGGGGCCCACGTCTGGTTGAGCAGATGTCCCCCCAGTATGGGTGAGAGTGGGGAGTGCCCCATCCTGAGTAGAGAAGGCCAGAGCAGAGGGGCACTGCGAGGGCTGGGCCTGCGGGGCTCAGCCCAGGACTGGGGGCAGCGGCAGAAACAGACCGGAAGTGCAGGGGCCACCGTCCGGCACCCCCGCCGCCTCCACGGAGCTGGAAAGGTGGAGACAGGCTGGACCAGCAGCAGGCCTGGGTCCAAAAGGATGGCCAGGGCCCGGGAAGGTGGGACGAGAGGTGGGAGGGAGACAGGCCCTGCTCTAGGACTGGGGCAGCGGTTATTTAACCACCCCAAGCCCAGGCCAGGCCTGGATGCGCTGCCCGGGCAGCCCAGGTCGGACGGACGCTGCAGGGCTGGACTTCCTCCAAGGGCAGCCAGCTAGGGCCAAGCCACGGGGGCGGGGCAGGGCAGGGCAGGGCGGGGCGGGGCCAGGCTGAGCTTGGGGCGGGGCCTAGTAGGCCTCGCAGGGGTCCTGGGCGGGACTGGAGCCTGGCAGGGGCGTGGCCTCGCCGGGGCTGGGGCGGGGCCTGGATCGGGGCGGGGCTCGCAGGGCCCGGGGCGGTGCCGCCATATAAGGGGGCGCGTCCGCGCGTGCGTGCCCGGCGCGTCTGGGTCGTGGAGCCGTCGGCCGCGGTCTCCTGTGCCGATGGGCTCAGTGGCCTAGCGACCCGGTTCCCGCCGTCCGTGATCGAGCGCCGAGGCCCGCGAGGGGTCGCCGCCGAGGTGAGGGCCCGGGCGGCGCGTGGGTGGGGTCTAGCGGCCCGAATAGGAGCGACGGCTGGCGGGGCGGACCGCCCGGCGTCCGGGAGGACCGAAGAGCGCGGGTGGGAGGGGGCGGCGGGCAGGGCCCGGGGCGCGGAGCTGGGAGCGCGCCGGCTGCAGGCAGGGCCGCTTCCCGGAGCCCCAGGCCGGCGGCCCCGCGCACAAAGCGCCTTTGTTGTCCCGCGCGGCCTGTTCGGGCTGGTTAGAGCCGCCCGCGCGGAGAGGGCGGTCCCGGAGTTCCGGAGCCCCGCCTCGGCTCGGTAAACAAACCTGGCGTCCGCCCCTCCCGAGAACCCACGCGGCTGACCCTGGGGTCCCGGTGGGGAGTGCCCTTCGCGAGAGGCAGCGGTGACCGAAGGGGCTCCCCGACCCCCGCGTGCGCAGGTTTCCACCAGCCCACAAGCAAGAGCATGGCAGCCATCCCCTCCAGCGGCTCACTCGTGGCCACCCACGACTACTACCGGCGTAAGTAAGCCCCTTGCCCGCCCCCCCACCAAGTCTGACCCGCGCTCCCCCACCCAGCTTGTGGTGTCAGCTCCAGTTCCTTGAGAATCCGTATCCGAGTGGGGAGTGAGCGGCTAAGGACCCCTGGCACTGCCTGTGCAGCAGGCAAAGCCAGCCCTTGGTCCGGTGGGCTGGGGGCTCAGGGCCCTCACCAGGTGGAGCTGACCTGGCCTCTTCTCTCCAGGCCGCCTGGGCTCCACTTCCAGTAACAGCTCCTGCGGAAGTGCCGAGTACCCTGGGGAAGGCATCCCCCGCCACCCCGGTGAGCGCAGGTCCACCCCTGGCTGTTCCTAGGGACTGACTGGAGGGGGTGGGTAACAGTACCGTGACCTCACTTTGCTTCTCTCAGGTCTCCCCAGAGCTGACCCGGGACACTGGTGGGCCAGCTTCTTTTTCGGGAAGTCCACTCTCCCGTTCATGGCCACAGTGTTGGAGTCCCCAGAGCAGTGAGTCCACCTTCCTGGGGGCCGTGGGGGGGCGGGCAGGTGGTAGCAGCCTCTGACCACGTGCTCTCCTCCAGCTCAGAACCAGCCCAGGCCTCCACCGGCATGATCACCTGTGACCTGGCTCGGGAAGCCGTGGGGAAGCAGCAGCCTGGCGGCCAGCCTGGCCAAACCAACTCCAGGCCCCCGTCCTGAGTGGCCACCACCAGCTGCCGGGCGGGCTTCCTCCCCAGGCGCTGGGCTCATCAGAGCCCCCCTCCTTCCCCTCCCTGAGAGTGATCAGGCTGCAACCAACACAAGCAGTTGGGTTTTTAATATCAAAACAGCAAAACACCAAAAAGGAAGTTGAGAGAACTCCACTCTTTACTGTCCAAGCCACATGAGAGCCTTCCCGGCACCCTCTAACCTGTGCCTTGCACCGAGTAGAAAATAAACAAGCAGCCAGCAGCCACATGGTGTGTGTGTGAGCTCCATGCCACCCCCACCCCCGCGGGAGGAGTCACCAACCCCTCAAACTTCTCACTTCCTGGGCCCTCCTGGGGTCCCTCCCTAGCGGGCCACCTCCGAGATCTGGCTCCGGTTCACGTGGGCAGACAGCTCCGGTGAGTGTGGAGCCTTGTATCTGAGAAGAGGTGGGGTGCCTTGCTATCCTGGGGAGCCGGGGAGAGCAGGCAGTCCCAGGGCAGCCACTGAGGTTGGGGTCCTCGGAGTAAGCCCGCCTCGGCCCCTGCTGCCGCGGCAGGAGACAGGGTCTCTGGCTTGGGTCCGGAGCCCTCAGACGTGGGGCCCGGCGCCCTCGAGGAGGCCGTCCTCAGCCTGGTGTGGAGCAGCTCACGCGCCCTGCTCTCTCCCACGTGCCTTCCAGTAAGGGCGGCGTCTCCTGTAGCCTCTTGTAAGGCACACTCTGGGCAGGGCCCCCGGCAGCCTAAGGGTGAGGGGAAGGGGGTGTGGGAGGCTCTACGGGGCCCCACCCGGGGCAGCCCAGCTTTGGGCAGAGTCCTACTTGGGAGCTCTGTGTGTGGCTGGGGAGTCGTCTCATCCTCTGCTGGCCTCCTGGGGGCAGGCGTGGGGGGTAGGCTGGTGGCGTCCACGTGCCTCAGTGGCCGGCAGAGACTGACCGGGGCCTGGGGGTCAGGAGAGGGCAATTCAGTGAGGGAGCGGACGGAGGCTTGGTGTGAGGGCGGGGGCCTAGAGGGGTGGTCTCCACTGGTTAGCAGGCCGGGCTCAGCTGGCCACCCCGCCCCAGCTCCGCTCTAAGTCACGGGGGTCGGGAGTCCATCCCAAGGCATTTGGGTGGCTCGTGGCCCCCAAAGGCTGCACCTTCTGTCCTGCCTGCCCTCAAATGTGTCCAGGCACAGTTAGCCTGACCCCCACCCAGTCCTTTCGGTCACAGTGTCCAGACGTGGCCCCCCAGGCCCCCCGGGGGCAGCTGGATAGGAGCAGCGGCTGGCCCCGGGGAGCAGGCGTCAGTGCCCCTGTCTCCACAGAGGACTGGGGGGTCCACACCCCCTTATATCCAGGTCTCAGGCAAGGCCAGAGGGCACAGGGAGTGCAGCCAAAGCCTCGGTCCCCACCGCGCACGGCCCGGAAGCTCAGCCCTGGTCCTGACAGCCGGTGGGCTTTGGGTCAGGACCAGGGACAGGTCCACTCCCTTTGGAAGGAGGGGCGACCTGGCTCCTGGAGCCCCAGGGCAGGTGTTGGCTGTGGAGGTCCCAGCACTTTCCAGGAGCTGGTGTCAGGCGGAGGGGCAGTCCCAGCTCCTGGCTGCACTGGGCAACAGGTGGGCCCAGGGCTGCCCGAGCCCCTTCTCGGGAGTGTCCGGTTGATTCTGGGAGCTGTTGGTACCTTCAGCAAATCCTCAGTAAATCTGGGTCAGCCCACTCCCATGATCCGAGGTTGCTCAGGCCCCTCACGAGGGCTGGCCTGGCCTTCAGGCAGTGGCAAGGAGGCGGCCGACGCAGCAGGCTCTCGTACCTTCTGAGGCTGGAGAGCTTTTCCCGCAGCCCTTTGAAGCGGGGCCTCTGCTCGAGGTCCCTGTGCCAGCACGAGAGCATCAGCTTGTGTGTGTGGTGGGTGGGCACTCCAGGGGGCAGGGCATGCGGTAGGCCGCCTCTACCCTCAGGAGGGTATGGACATGCCTGTGGCGGGCAGGACAAGAGGGACTGTGGAGGCAGGGAGGCCAGTGCCGCCCTCCCCTCCCGCAGGAAGCCTTGGGCTGTGCCCTCGCCCTCTGCATCCCCGGCACTCACTTCTAACGCCCTCCCTCTGGACGGTGACGCCTGGAAGGCATCAGGCACCCAGTGATGGTGCAGGGGCCGTGTCCAGGTGACGGCCCCCTCCCGCCCTGCCTGCAGTTGGCAACACTGGGTGCCCAGTACCTGGGCAGGGCATCTGACCCCTGCTGGAAATCTCATGAAGGAGAACCCCGAAGGACCAGGTGTCAGATTTGATGGAGTAATGCCCTCGGGAGAGTGCCTCGGGGGCAGTCCACTTGTAAGGGATGCTGTGGTCATGGAAGAGGTAGACGTTCTGCGATCAGACACGCTGGGGGCGGGCCTGGGGGCCGCCTGCACCCTCCCTCCCCACAGCATGGACAGGCTCGGGGAGCCCAGTGCTTGGTGGGCAAGTGTGCGGTCGGGACCCACACTGCATCAGGGCTCCCTGGGACCCGTGCTGCCGGAGCTGAGCAGGCAGAACCCGCCCCAACAGGCCCTGCCCCAGAGGACCATAGTCGCAAAACCCAGCAGAGAGCTTCCCAGGACAAGGGGCAGTTTCTCCAGAAGTGAGCTGCAAGGAGACACCGGGAGGGGCGGTGGGTCAGCAGCCAAGCTGGCGTGGCACCGGGGCCCGCTCGAGGAGCACACTGGAATGGCTGACGCTTAGCTCTGGGTCATCACGATTAAAGGAGCCCCTCAATTTCTCAGCGTGTGACTGAGAGTCCCGGAGGCGCTGGTATCACCTGCCTGCTGGGCCAGGCTGAGCATGGAAGCAGGACACTGGCCAAGGGCGAGTGAGGGGTGGGCCCGCTCCCCCCACGCCCTGCCACCTGCGCACCATGCCCTGCTGTGCTGCCCCCAGCCGCTGGGCGCCCGAGCTGGCCCCGTGTAGCTGTCCTCCTGGGCTCAGCCAAGTGCCTGCACTGCCCTCCCAGGAGCCTCCTGATCTCGTTAAGGCCCAGCTCCGGGGGCTTCCCTGGTGGCGCAGTGGTTGAGAATCTGTCTGCCAATGCAGGGGACACGGGTTCGATCCCTGGTCCAGGAAGATCCCACATGCCGCGGAGCAGCTAAGCCCATGTGCCGCAACTACTGAGCCTGCGCGCCTAGAGCCCACGAGCCACAACTACTGAGCCCACGTGCCACAACTACTGAAGCCTGCGCGCCTAGAGCCTGTGCTCTGCAACAAGAGAAGCCACTGCAATGAGAAGCCCGCGCACCGCAATGAAGAGTAGCCCCCACTCGCCCCAACTAGAGGAAGCTTGCGTGCAGCAACGAAGACCCAATGCAGCCAAAAATAAAATAATTAAAAAAAAAAAAAAGACCCAGCTCGGGCTCCACAGACCACATCTCACCTGAGGGCGGAAGGCCCACGGGAACCTCCAGCTCCCGGCACCCTCTGCTCTCCGCCCTCCCCTGGCCTTACCTTGATGAGCCTGCCCAGCCCCAAGTCCCCGATTTTGCAGATGTTGTTTTCCCCCACGAGGATGTTCCTGGCGGCCAGATCCCCGTGGATGTAATTATGCAATTCCAGGTAGCACATGCCCCCGGCCACCTGTGCTGCAATGCCCACCAGCTCCGAGATGGGCAGGGTTTTCTCATCGGAGTCTGCAGAGGCCAGGGGAGGCCAGCGTGAGTGGGGCCAGCCAGGGCCAAGTCCTCTCTGCAGACTCCTGCGCTCAGGGGTGGGGCTGGGACAAAGGGCAGATGGCCTGGTTTAAAATTGGAACTGTGGACCCACTGCAGCCCTTGTGGAGGGCTGTTAGGTACCAGAGCTACCACAGTCCATACATACCCTTTGGAATTTCCTTCTGGGAGTCCACACTGAAGCAATAGGAACTCAAAGACGTATGTACAAAGATGTTCATCACAGCATTATTTACACGGTTAAAAACCTCAAAAGGTTTAAACAGGCACCTGAGTGGACGTGGCACATCCACGTGGTGGTGCACAGACCGTCAGGATTTCATTTCTGATGAACAATTAGTGATACAGGAAACTGCTTGCAAAGATCAAGTGAAAAGCACTGCAAATGTGGCCGTATTAAAATATACTCCCCAGGGTGAGATAGGGAGGGTGGGAGGGAGACGCAAGGAGGAGGAGATATGGGGATATATGTATGCATATGGCTGATTCACTTTGTTATACAGCAGAAACTGACAAGCACTGTAAAGCAATTATACTCCATAAAGATGTTAAAAATAAATAAAATAAAATATACCCCCAGATACACACATAGGCATACTGGGTGTCATTTATCCTACGGTGCACGTTTCTCCCATTTCAGCGTCTCTGAAATTGGGCTGCATCTGCATACAATGGCGCCTCCACGAACTGGCTGCGACTGTCTGGTTTGGGTGTTTAATGAAACACCGGGGCTTGTTATAGATGATGAGGTCTGTGCAGCAACGAGATACGTGGTGTGTGAGCGCGTGTGTGCGAGTGAGTGTGTAAGCAGACAAACACCAGAAGGAGGGACAGCGCCTTCTAGGAAGAGAGAACAGCAGTGAGAACCAGGCCTGGGTGTTCCAGAAGGGGGGGGGGGGGGGCAGGCCACGCCAAGCGTTTGATTAAAATGGCCTCAGTTCACCGAAGGTGTAGGAATGATGAGTGGCTGTTCTTGTCTTTGTTCTTATCTGTATTTTGTCAAATTCCTGCAATGAACGGATGGTACATTTATCACAAGATATTTTAAATCCTTTCTTAAAACAGAAAAGGCTGATGAGCAATCCCAGGCTGTCTGGTGAATGGCAGGCGGGGGGGGGGGGGGGGGGGGGGGGGGGGGGGG